AGACAGATCCCAGAGGAGACAGTGACAGTTTAGAGTGGCCAGGACCAGGATGGAGAAGGCACACACACAGGGCTGGGATAGGATGGGGCACAAACACACACACACACACACAGCCCAAAATGATTAAATTAGCCATGTCAAGAATGTCAATTTAAGGGACAATGGCAAGATGGTGACAGAGTGATATTGCCCACCATTATTCCTCATGGATACACCCAGTAAACTATAATTCTCTCATCCAACTCACTGCAGAACTGCTAAGATAGTAAGCTCTGGCAGCAAAGTAGTTTTGATTCTATCAACAGCCCATAAGTGTGCCAATCTGTGGACAAAGCAGATTAATGGGATTGCAGTCATGCTGCATGGGCCGGCACAAAGGCCTTGCAGCATTCTGTGCACCAACTCTGAATCTGTGGAGAATCCAGCAGGAAAACCAGCAGGAACCAGGCACACCTACATGTGGAGCCAGCACAACTCCTAGCTACAGCTGAGAAACTGGGCTGGTACACACAGAAGCATATTAGCAGCTTCCAACGTGGGAAAGCAAAAGGGCCACTGCTGGAGCATGCAAGACCAAGAGTGCTTGGGGCCTTAAGAGAAGAAATTACAACTTTAGTGAGAACTGCAAGACTGGTGGGCTGAAGGCTCAGGTCTCAAACCTTCACTGGGGGTTGTATTAGATCTCCAAATCCTGAAAACAAGCCTAGACTGCAGACTCCATTCCAGAGCCAGGTCTCAAACGAGACTGCCATCTATTGGTGAGAAAAACTCAGACTCTGGGGGAAAAAAGATGATAGATTAAATAGATAGATAGGTAGGTAGATGATAGAAAGATAGATATAAAGAGATGATAGATAAACATAGATGATTGATCAATAGATGATAGATGCTCAGGAAAGCAACTTAAAATTTGATTTTTAAAATGAATTTATTTTTGTCACTTGGGTTTTGGTTGTTTTGATCTTCCATTAGCTTTTGGTATTGATTTCTCTGTGTATCTGAACTTTATGCTCTCTCTCTCTCTCATTTTTAGTTTTGATTTTCCCCCTTCCTTTCCTTTGTGGTCATTGTACGTGAACCACAACACCTGGCTTTCAGTAGCCAATCTTTAATCATATCCGTTCCATCCTTCTTCTTCACCCTCCCACCTTTAGACTGACCTCCTGTCCATAGTTAGAACAGCTCACTCACTAATATTTTGCTGCTATTTCTTTGTCCCCATCCGTAATCCTTCTTCATTAACTACAGTTTTAACCTTTTCCTCAAAGAAATTTTTTTGGTGGTATGGGGGTTTGAACTCAGGGCCTCACACTTGCTAGACAGTCACTCTACCACTAGAGCCACTCCACCAGCTCAATTTTTCTCAAAATTTTGTTGCTTGTTTATTTGCTTAATTTTCTTTACCTCTCTCCTCCTCTCTTACCCAACACACACCTTAGATATTTCCTATCAACCTCACCCCGCTTTTTCACTACCCCTCTTAGTAAGCTAAACCACCACAACTTCCTCTCTTATAAAAGCATGCACCCTCTCTTACTCATTAGTGTTACCTAGCTCACTTGCATTGACACACTTATTAACAGGTCTTCCTACACCATGAAGATTCTTCTTTGCGCCTATATTTCTCTAAAAATACATCTCCATCTCTCACCTTGTACAAAAATCAACTCCAAAAGATACAGTCATAGGTAATTATTTTCTGAATAGGACTCCAGTTGCTTAGGAAATAAGAGAAATAATTGACATATGGGAATACATCACATTTCAAATTTTCTGCACAGCAAAACAACCAATTATCACAATTCAGTGACAACTCACAGAATGGGAGAAATTCTTTGCCAGCTATTCAAAAGATAAGGGATAATATCCAGAATATACAAAAAGCTCAAAAGAAAAAACCTAAACAGCAAAAGAACAAATAATCCAATTATTAAATGGACAAATGAACTGAAGAGACAGTTCGCAGATGAAGAAGTACAAATGGGCAATAAACCCATGAAGAATGTTCTACATCTTTAGACATAAAGGAAATGCAAATCAAAACATCACTGAGATTCCCTCTCATCCCAGTCAGAATGGTAATCATTTCAAGAAGACAAACAAGAGCAAATGAAATGCTGTTGAGGATGTAGGGAAAAGGAAGTGCAACCACTATAAAAATCAGTATGGAGAGTCCTTAAAAGTAGCCTACCCTTGCTTGGGCTAGTAGAATGGCTCAAGTACTAGAGAGCTTGCCTAGCAAGTGTGAGGCCAGGAGTTCAAACCCCAGTACGGCAAAATAAATGAATAAATAAAAATAAAGTAGCTTACCTTATGACCCAGCTATACCACACTTGACCATATATGCAAAGTAGTGTAAATGGATATACAAGAAAGACACCTGCACACCCATGCTAATTATGGCACTATGTACAATAGCCAAGCATAAATGGGGGAAGGGGGTTCTGGGAATATAATGGAGGGGGATAAAATGTGTCTTGAAACCAAATAAAATAAAAATTGACAAAGAATTGAATGGGGAAATGATGGAGGGGGGTTATTCTGGTTTTCCCTCAGTTTCAGAATCAGGCAGAATCTTATTTCATGAAATGTAACTTATCCCATGAACTGAGCAGAAGGGATGGATTTATAGACATGAAGAGGGAGGGAAACTGAACCAGAGACCAATCACCACACAATCTGTTTCTGAAACACTGATACCAGAAATTTGGTCCTCTGAACTCAATGCCAATTCACAAATAATGAGAAGAGGGATCTTAGAGGAAAGAAAGTACAGATTTCCTATTTTTGCCAGGCAAAATGAGGACTGTTATGACTGATTGGCTCAAAAACAAAACAAAACTACAGTCCTCATCCCAAATGGGGGAAGGCTGGACTTCCGAAGGAAAACCCAGCAGCATGGGCTTCCGAATGCACATGACGAGTCAAGACTTTGGCGGAATGGTGACCTTGGGTCTGCTTAGTTCCTGATGTGCTGGTGTCACTCCACAGTTGCATCCTTTGCTGTTTTGGACATTCTGTTATTCAATGATGTGCTTGATGTTCATTTTATTTTTTTATTTTTTGGTGGGACTGGGGTTTGAAGTCAGGGCTTCGTGCTTGCAAAGCAGGTGCTCTATGCTCGAGCCACACCTCCAGTCCACTTTGCTTTGGTTATTTTGGAGACGGGGACTCATGAATTATTTACCCCAGCTGGTGTCTAACCACAATCCTCCTGATCTCAGCTTCCCAAATAGCTAGGATTATTGGTGCGGGCCACTGGTGCCAGGTTTGGATACCCTTTCATTCTTAGGGTCAGCAAGAGAGGGAAAGAAGCACAATGACCCTGTCTGAAGCTATAAAGGCATTCTCAAACTCCCTCACATGGGGGATAGGAATGGAGAGATAGGACAATGTAAAGAGAAAAAGAATGGCTTTAAGAAATGTGTAGCAGGCTGGCCAGTAGAGTGAGTTAGTTATTGAACTAAAACTACAGTTGTGAGCATATTTGGGTTTCTATTCCTGTTACATTTCTATTACCTTTATTTTTATGCAAAAAAGAGCATCGTAGTCATCCGGCTACATCCTACTGAAATAGGGCGATGTTAGGGGATTCTTCTGACAACAGGCATGCACCTGGCTTTGTCAGTCATCCTTGTGGGTCTTAAGGGTACTGGCTGTGATTTTGCATAGGAAGGGTATGCAGCAAAGTGCTACACAGAAAAAAAAAACCCTATATGATCCTATAATCAACATGATGGTCATACCAAAGTGGAAGACATTTAATTTGACATTATTAGAGATCCAGAAAAAGAAACCAGAAAAACAGTTTGTCAATCTAGCCCCCAGGTGCTTCAGTGGACAGGTGATGCTCCCATGTCTATTGTAATCAAGTAACTTGTTGCCTAATCTTTTCTATATTAGTTTCTACCTGAGAAGAAGTATGGAGATAGGTGTAACAGGACATAGTAACAATAGCACACAGACTCCCTAGAACTCCCAGCTAAAACTGGCCTATTTGGGGATTTGGCTATTGACTCACTCTCTGGATTGCCTGGAAACCATCAACATAGTTTCTGATTGGTGCCATGGAACCTGGCAGGAGTGGCTCCATCTTGGTTTGGCCAGGTGGACCTAGTGCAGGAACACATTCCAGAGCCTTTGTGGGAGACCAGTAATTAAACAGACTGAGAAGAAATCTTGGCATGAGCACGGCTCTGCCAAGGGCCCCTTGGCTGATAGGCACAGACCCAGCCAAGGGGAGGCAAGGTTCAGAAGCCTGCCTTGCAAGAAAAACAGGATGTGCTGAGCTAGTCAGGATAGTCTGCAGTAAATAACAACATACCGCAGCTGCTCTGTTCCTGCCACTGGACCCCTGAGAACGGGACCTGCATTTCACCCCTTTCTCATACTTGTTGTATAAATAAATGCGCTTGGAGGCAGAGGGGGTCCTCAGCATCCTCATCAGGAGGGCTGGACCCACCCAGCCCCAGCTTTTCTGTATGTCTGTCTTTGTGTCTTTTTTCTCAATCCCCAGACGCTCCCACCCAGTAAGGTCAAGGGACCTGCTCACTGTGGCCTGAGAGCCTTGTCCTGTGCCTTAAACAGTTCTGATGCTCAGGCAGCAGAAGACAAATGACACTTGTCGGCTCATCGATGCTCACTTGCCCCAGGCGCTCTGCTTCCCACTTCAGGTGTGATCTTACACACGTCCCACAGTAATTGTATGAGACGGACGCCCATGTCTACATCCTACAGAGGACGATGCTAAGCAGCTGATTAACTCATGCCAAAAAGGTCTCTAAGTGACCATCTCTTTTTTTTTTTTTTGTAGAGCTTTTGAGCTGGAGGACAAGTAGGAACAAGTGTCCACTGCCAGAACAGCCATTAGGAACTCCTTCATGGCCTTCTTAGCACAAGCATCCATATCTCCGCACCCTCTAGCGTCTATCTTCTAGAGCCTGGAAACTTTAGCTCCGCTCCCAAGCCCCTAGGGAGTTGGGGTGACGGTTACCACGGAGATGGGTGCACGCGGAGGCCGGCTGCTGGACAGACAGCAGTTGATAGTGGAAAAGAGGGCGGCCATTTTGAGACAGAGCGACAGGGGCAGGACAGGCACTGGCCAGCAGGGGTTGACGGGTTTAAACCAAATGACTGATACAGCAGGGCGGGGAGAAGAGGGAGGCGCCATCCTAGGGTTGGGGGATGCAGGGGCAGGGAGTGCCTGGGATGGGAGGCAGGTGCAGAAAGACAGGGGAAGGACAAAAGATTCCTGGGACCCAACAAGGGAAGGAGAGAGAAGCCAGGGAGGGAGGAGAGGGGGCGTGGCTAAGAAAAGAAGTGGGTGCTGAGTGGGGGGCTGGGCGTCTAGCAGACAGGTGTTGAGGGCGTGCAAAGGGCTGAGAATAGGAGGGAAAGGTGTCCTGGTTGGAGGGGTCGGGAGGATCCCAATGGCAGCGAGAGTGCGGAAAGACTAGAAGTCTTGCGACAAGGGTCAGGCTGTGGGGAGGAGAGATGGTGAGGTGAGAAGAGATCGTCCAGGAAGAGAAAGTCCTTAAAGAAAAGGGCGGGGTAGGAGAAGGGCGGGGTAGGAGAAGGGCGGGGCGGAGAGAGGGGCGGGGCGGAGACGTAGGCGGGGCCGGGGGCGGGGCGAGGCGAGGAGCTGGGCGTGGTCACAGAGGTCCTTCCTACAGAGCTGTTGATCCCCCACGTCCTCCAGGTTCTGGCTACCGGCTTCGCTGCCCAGCCATGTCCACAGCCAGCCCTGTGTGGCCCACAGCACGAGTCCTGCGGGCGCCGTGGGTACTGCTGCTGGTAGTCCTGGCGCCGCAGAGGCTGGTGGGGGACGGTGACTTCTACCACTGCACCTGGAAGGTGGTCCTGAACAGGTTCCACTCTGTAGGCCTGACCAACTCCACTGACCGCTTTCTTGATCAAGAGCCCCAGGATACAGTGGACGGCGTGTTCAACATGTTGGTGGACTCCCCTGTTGATCCTAAAGAGGTGAGAGGACCAGGATCAAATGTATTGGAGCAGCCTGAACCAGTGCAGCACTTCCTGACTCTGGCATTTCACCCAAATCTCCTTACAGAAATACATGGGCTTCCCTTACTACCTGAAGGTCAACTACACCTGTGATGGACAGGTGAGTGGGTGCAGTAGGCAGTAGTAACCTGATTGGACCAGCCTCAGAGTATTCATCTCGTAATAGTGGTAACGCCATCGGATCAAGAGAGCCTTAGGATTCCAGATTTTCTCTGTTCAGGTCCCAGTACTCAACCAGGCACATTATAGGTACTCAAACAAACTTTTTTTTTCTATAATTTGCTTTTATTCACACCATAATATTTACCTTTTGGAGGCTGAAATTTGCCTCCAATGAGGCACAAATGAGAACAATGGCCTTATCTTTTTGACTTTGGGGTGAGGGCTGCCTTGGCTGTGTCCCAACATAGTGGAGAAGAGGGGCAGTAGACTGGTGTATGCAGAAGAGGCCAAGCATGGGAGGGGGCCTCACTTTGTAACAGCTGGCTTTGCTAGGAATGAATTCTGAAAGACCCGTGTTAATCTCCATGAAGGACCAGGCAGAGAATGGGGTGATCTGACTCAGGCTTCAGAGGCTCAGCTGGGAGCAGGGAGGCAGTGAGAAGGCAGGAGATGAGTGTGGACAGGACAAGAGTGGTAGGGGCCATTGTTGGCCTGGCTAAGAGAGTCCCTGCTCACCAGCAGCTGCTCCCTGTGACTGGGAGCCTAGGGGCAAGATTCTAGGTGAAACAGGTAGCAGCAGGATGAAGTGAGTCCTGGCCTCAGCATCTCAGAATGAAGGGACCATTAAATCCCTGGCCCTGGTCCACCCCCACCTCAACACTCCCAGCCCCAGGCCCAAGTGCAGATTCTGTTGGGTTTGGCGCTAAGCTGTCTTATTCTGTTCCACAAATCTGCAGCACCGTTTTCCTTCCTCCTGCCACATGTGCTGTCAGCCCAGCAGGATCCCAGTGTCTCTGGCAGGTTGTCCCTTGATGTACCTCACTCTCCACTCAGTCGCCTTCTGTCTCACTGTCCATTGCCCTGACCTGCCTGTCCTCTGCTCAGTGGGGGAGCAGACAGACTGGTTTCAGAGGGGAGGATGGGCCTGGCTACTGCCAGGGTGGGATGAGGGTGCTGGGGTTGTAGGTACCAAGCACACATCTTCCCACTCTGCTACCCACACCACCCCTCCCTAAGCACCGTACATGCAGGTCCATGAAAGACTCCCCTCCAGGACAACCCTGGATTCCTCTCTCGGTGCTTGTCCTCCCTGTTCCATCCCCTCACAGCCCTGTTCTCTGACTGTCCCAAGATGGAGAGCCTGCTCACTGCACCCATTCCAGGAAGAAAGGCCACTGCAAGGGGGGGTCGAGGAAGGGGATTCAGAGGCTGTCTTAAGGCTACAGCCATGAGGCCATCTCCATCCTCAGCCCTCTGAGGACCTTGTCCGCCAAGGCCACCTGATGGGGATGAAGCCCTTGGTGCTGGTCACCTTTAACCCCCCAGTCAACTTCTACCGTTGGAAGATGGAGGTCCTGCAGATCCAGATGGAAGCAGCCCCCTTTCGCAACAAAGGTGAGCCCCAGGGCCTGGAGACAGAAGGGAAAGGGCTCCCAATGGGGGTCAGTGACTGGAGGATTCCTGGGAGCCCTGTGCCTCAGTGTCCACTGCACCCTGCAGATGAGTGCTTGGCAGCGGAGGTGTGTGGCATGAGCTGGTACACACCCATGCCCATCAAGAATGGCAGCGTGGTCATGCGTGTGGAAGTCAGCACAAACGGCCTGGGGCCCTACATCCCCCCGAAAAGGTGCTTTTCCCACACTGGGTAGGGTATCCTTGGAGCAGTGCCCATCTTAGATCCCCATAGGAGTCACGGGGAGACCCAGGGGAGGAGCTGTGGGGGAGCCTCTGAGGCAGGAACTCTCACCTTGGCCTGCTCTGTCTCCATCCCGACCTCTTCCTCCCCGTGCAGTTTCTATATGAACATCAATGGTTTCCTGAAGAGAGACTGGGCACAGATAGCCCGCTTCACCGTGGGAGATGAGGTGAGTGGCTGGGCTGGAGGAGGGGAGAAGGGAGGACATACAGACATCACCTGGGCCTCTAGGGGATGGAGGGGGCTTCACAATCACAAACAAGCCCAGCTCCCCATTTGTAGAGCACTTGCCCAGGTGACATGCCTTCCTAAATACATGATGGAGTCCTTCTTCATAGTGGCCCTGGGACAGGAAGTCACTCATACACTCATTTTATTTTTTTTTTTAGGTAAGGCCTAACTATATGTAGTCCAAGCTAGCATGAATCTAACTATGTAGCCCAAGCTGCTGAGGAACTGGAGATCCTCCTGCCTCAGCCTCCAGAGACCTGGGATTACAGGTGTGCACCACCACACCTGGCCTCCCATACCCATTTTTTGAGAGGGGAAAACTGAGTCTTCAAAGGGATGGAGCCATTGGCCCACAGTCTGTCATCACGGGCACGAGAAAGGATACATGAAGCCTTGCCTACCTGACTCCTTCTCCCATGTTCTGAATCACTGTGTGTTCATCCGGTCATTCACTCATTCAACTCAGCCCTTCCTGAGCACACTTTAGGGTGATGTGGGGAAACAACAGTGAACCTGTAGTCCCTGACACCTGTCCCCAGGGGTGATGGACACCAAACCAGCAGACATGAGCATCAAGTCCATCAGGTGCTCTGGAGAGAAATGAAACACAAGTAGGGAATGGGTGTGTGGGAGGAGAATGCAGGCATTTGATGGAACAGTCAGGAGAGGTCTAGTTAAGGTTGGGAGGAGAGGAAGAGGGCCCCTAAATGGAGGATAGGAAAAACAGCCTGTGCAAAGGCCCTGAGGTAGGACTGTACCTGGTGTGTTTGAGATGCAGGGAGGAGTCCAGCCCAAGGACTGGGATAGAGGGAAGGAGGGGGAGAGTGACAGGAAATGGGATCTGGGAGACAACTGCAAATTGTGGTGGGTGTGGTGGCCAAGATGAGAACTTCCTGTCTCCTGGCAGCTCTTTAAACTGGAGTCCAGGTACTTTGAAAATGTCAGTTCAAGGGCTCTGAGGTTCACTGTGGACCATTCTCCTGTGCTCATCCTGGGTGGTATTCCTGACGAGAAGATCATCCTGATGACTGACACCAATTTTGAGGACTTCTCTATTGTGGAGGTGAGTGGTGCCAGGCAGGCAGTGGGCTGAGAGGTCTCTGGAAGGGATGAAAGGGAGCTGGGCCTCAGGCCCAAAATGGATCAGGGGGCTGCGGTTACACACGGGTCCCCAAAGAAACAGAACTTCCCACAGGATGGCATGAAGGAGGATTCTGCTGCCGGGTGGCCTGGCTTAGGCTCAAATCTTAGCTCTGCTACTTCCTGACTCTGTGGACTTGGGCAAGTCACTAACTCTGTGGGCATCAGATTCCCATTTGGAAAACGAAAAGTGTGTGTGTGTGTTTACCTCATAAAAATCATTGAGGATAAGTTAACAGCTTCCATAATTATTAGTATATATACGACAAGTGCTCGTCCACAGTGCTCCAGCCTGTGTTCAGCCTAAGCAGGCTCACTTAACTTTCAACAAAGTTCACTTCTACTCAGTCCATGAGTGACACGCTAGTCACATGGCTCCATCCAACTGCCAGCAGGCTGGGTGTCACAGCCTGGCTGAACTCAACCAAAATCTATGGAGAATGTCATTTTGGGAGCTCAGCTAAGCAGCTGCAGACAGTGGAAATGGGCAGGGCATGGTGGCCAGCCATTACAAGTCCCAGTTACTCAGGAGGATGATAGTTTGAGTCTATGACTTTAGGGTGACACAGGGAAAAGAAAAAAGATCCAGGAGACACACAGCTTCCTTTTCCTCACCTATGTGGGGGACTGGAGAAGTGGCAATGGGCATGTAAGTGAGCAAAGGACCCCTCCCATAGTTCTTCCAGAAGCCAGACGCACTGCTCCAGATATTCTGAACAGGGCCGCACAATGTGACAAAGCCATGGCCAAGTTAGAGGGTTCCAGTTAGTCTTGTGAGGTGTAGTGATGACCTCTGTAGTCTGGGGTGGGGAAATGACATTTTCTGAAATGATGTATGTAAGGAAGGTTTCGTGGTGCTGAATGTTCTCTTCAACTTACCGAGATTTCTCTTGGCAGGAGAGCCTAGGCTTTGACCAATACTTTAAATGACAAAAAGGGAAATTGACAAGTCCCTTTTTTTCTCCTCTGGTGCTGGGGTTGGAACCCAGGGCCGTCGTGGACACACCCAACCCTTGGTTTCTTGAGGCAGGATCTCACTACGTAGCCCAGGCTGGCCAGGAATTCTCCACCCTTCTGCTTCAGCCTCCCGAGTGCTGCAGGCATTCCAGGTTCACACCACTCACAACTCCTTTTCAGTGGAAATTTTGACTCAGTCACAAAAGTAGAAAGGATGGGATAATGAACCCTGCCTTAATAATTATCAATGTTTTGTTTTTGGGGTTTTGTCAGGGTGGGGGTGTTGGCCCACTTTTTAATGAGCTATTTTGAAGAAAACCCCAGTCATCATAGCAGGAGGCCTGCAGATTCTTGAAACACTTGAGGGAGGATCCCTAACCCATGAGAAGTCTTAAAAAATCAGGTCAGGCGCCAGTGACTCGCACCTGTAATCCCAGCTACTCAGGAGGCAGAGATCAGCAGGATTGTGGTTCAAAGCCAGCCCAGACACATTGTTCAAGAGACCAGACCCTATCTTGAAAAAATAATCACAGAAATGGCTCAAGGTGTAGGCCCCGAGTTCAAACCCCATTTTTACTGCAAAAAAATGAGATTAAATTAAAAAATGAAGGGCTTGGTGAGTCATGGGTAGAGTGTACTTGCCCTGTGTACACAAGACCCTGGGTTGATTCCCAGAAAATATAAAAATAAAGTTACATTGCCAATGAGAGAGTGCTCTGGTATCTTTTCTTGTTCCTCTTTTTTTTTTTAATAGTGCTAGGAATGGAACACCAGGCACTTCCTTTAATCTTTTCTACCTCTTTAGAGACTCTGTCTCCAGATATAGTGACGATAAGGCTCACTATATGAATTTGGGGGACATAATTCAGTCCCTATCAGCCTATATACTGCCTGCCAATTGGCAATTAGCACCAGAAGCTCGATTACATTCAGACTGGATCTTACAGGCAAGCCCTCTCCATTGGTGGTACCAACCCCACTGTTGGTGGTGTTGCCAGTGCTAATAATTGGCCTCTGGATTCAGGTGGTGTTAACCTGCCAGCCAGGTGTGTTCAAGGGGGACTATTGTTGTTAAAAGTGCTTTGAGCCAAGTGTGGTATGTTCTGCATCCACATTGTGCAAGCCTGAATATAGCCAGGGGAACAGGGACTGCTGAGCACCAGCGAGCATGGTGTGCATGGCCCAAATCCAGGGACACACAGTGTCCAAACAGGCTCAGATCTCTGGGATCTGCTTCTCTGGTCCATGCTGGAGAAGTCTGTCCACCAAGGTGCTGCTGCAGGGTGAGCAGCCTGGAACAACTGCCTGGCTTCATCCCCAGTGGGTAGAGCAGGAGTCACCCCAAGGCAGGACAAGGGGGCAGAGCGCAAGGTCACCTGCTCACCAGTGCTCTGCTTCCCTGTAGCTGAGCATTGACAGCTGCTGGGTGGGCTCCCACTACTGCCCCCAGTCTGGCTACTCAGCCACCATCCTTGACGTCATCTCCACGGAGAGCACGCTGTTCATTCGGCAGAACCAGCTGGTATACTATTTCACAGGCACCTACTCCACGCTCTACGACAAAAAAGCCGGCAGCAGTAAGAGGGCCATGGCGGGGCAGGGAGGGGCCCGCTGTGGTCCCAGTCATCACTGTTTGGTTCTGAAGCCCGCACGGGGGTGGGGTCTTCCCTCCCCTCTATATGCGGGGAGGGGGGAACTTTTCCGAGAACATGCTGGGAACTGTGAGCCAGCTACAGGAACGAGGGAGGGAGGGAGAGAGAGAGAGAGAGAGAAATGGACTGTTGATGAGATAAAACTATGAAGATTGATCAGAAAGGAAAAAGTTAAGACCAGACATGATGCTCATGCCTGTAATACCAGCACTCAGCAGTGTGAGGCAGCATGTCTTCCAGGCCAGTCTAAGCTACTTGGTGAGACCCTATTTCAAAAACCAGAAGCAAAAAAAAGAAGTGGTGGACATGTTTATTGGCTCACATGGATGACAAGCTCAGGAACATGTGGGTTTCAGGCATAGTGGATCCAGGGCTCACGGTGACTATTAAACACTCTCCTCCATGTGGATACCTTGGTGACTCCTGTCTTTACCCAGCAACTGTAGGCTTTTCTATCCCACAGTAGTCCCAAGAAAGAGCACCTCTTAGCTCGTGCTTGCAAGCTACGTGGTCTCTGATTTGCTCAGCTTAGTCACATGCCGGGTTCAGAGTCAATCTCTCTGACTAGGGTAGGGTAAGGGAGGGGTCGGCCCACTCTGGACCTCAGGGACTGAGAATGAGAAAGGGGGATTTGTTCAAAGGCATTGGTACCACTGCCAGGAGTCCTGAGGCACCACACACAATGGGTGCTCCAACCCAAGTGGACGGGAACAGGCTCAGGAAGTCCAGGGGAGTAAGGGTCCATCCATCTGTGCTGAAGCCCCTCGCTCTCTCCCCAGGTGGCTGGGTTCGAGTCCTAGCCAGTGAGTGCATCAAGAAGCTGTGCCCTGTGTATTTCAATAGCAATGGCTCTGAGTACCTGATAGCTCTGACCATGAACAAGCATGAAGGTTATCTTTACCTGGGGACCATCAGAGGTAAGACCCTGTCACCTCAGGTCCTCCTTCCTCACCATGTGCCCCGGTGCCCTCAGGAGAGGCCCCAGGCTGGGGGGTTGTCCCTCTGTGTGTGGTAAAGGAGCTAGGCATTTGTAAAGATAAGAATTGGGGTGTCCCACGGGGAATTTGTGAAATTTGCATAAGAAAAAGGCTGAGTTTCAGACATGGCTGGGTCCAGGGGCTCACAGGGTGTGTCATCAGGACTCCATCTCTAGACAGGGTAGGATAGTCACCTGAGTTCTAGGCTGGAGGGCCAACTCTGGGTTTCCCAACAAATCAGCTCCAGCCAAAGAAATCAGCGCCAGTCCCAAAGAAAGCAAACAAGAGGACCGGTGAGAAGCAGGAAAGGAATTTAACTGGGAGGATGGGGTAGAATGTTCCAGCCCTGTCTTTAGGGGTAGTGACATGAGCGTTAGGTCTAAATGCAGGAGCAGCTGGGGTAGGGGAAGAGGCGTGGGGAATTATCAGTCTCGGTCAAAGTATTAACGGCGCTGGTGCAGTCTGTGATCAGAAGACTTCCAAAGTCTTTGTATCCCACTGGGAAGATCCATGGCAGGACCCGTGGTGTAACGGAGTTTATTAAAAGTTAGGGAAGGGAAATACAAGGGGAAGTATGGTGGGGCCCAGGTGGAAACAGGAAGAGCGTGTTTCTGCTGTTCACCTACGCTAACCTGTGGGAAGGGAGAACAAGGTGATTCCCATCCACTAATCCCTGAGTGGAGAGGGGCATGGGCGGTTCCTCTAAGATGTAGTATTTTTCTGAGTCCCGAACTTTCCCTAATTTACCCTGCCTCATTAGCACAGGTCTGGTCCTGCCAGGATCTGGGGGAGCCTTATCACTTCCCATAATGAGAAGATTGCTCCTGCTTGTGAGGCACACACAATCTGATCATGGGGTGACCTGTCTGTGAGTCTCCACTGTTCCTGGAATCAAAGGTCCTTCAAGTTCAGGAGACTTTTAGATGCCTTTCTGAGGGACAAGAACAGGGCATGGCCCTAACATCCTGAAACCCTCCTACCTTGGTGTCTTTCATCCTGAAAGGGAACAGGAGAGGTGAGGTCAGTTTAGGGTGATCAACCCTGTGTGAGGAGGTTTGGGGTGTCCCATGACATCCATGAACATGCTTACCGCACAGGTGAACAGGCATCTGACCCAAAGTTCTGGAGTGGAAAAGGAGATAGGTACAAAAGGAAGGCAGAGATGCCTGGCTTGATCCTGCTTTCTGTTACCCACGGGTATCTGCAGATCCAATGGAAGAGTCAGAACTTTAGCAAAACTGCCTGTCGGTCCTGTTATAGTACAGTGACTTCATATGGCACAGATTCCAGAGATGGCACCATCACACCTGAGTTCTGTGGCTTTGGACAGGTGACCTGACCTCTCCAATTACATTTTCCTCATCCACAAAATGGGGTGTAATGAGGATTCCAGCACCTGCTTCTTGGGTTGACATGAGGATTAAATAAATTGGTATCTCAGTGCTAGAAACATATGAGTGTCATCGAACGGTTTATTACTATTATTATTAGGGCCACAATCTGGGATTTCGTCAGGTAGACTCTTGTCCTGCATGGTGTTTAAAGAAGATTCCTAGGAACTCGGGCTCACCCTCCCCACCAGTTGGAGTCACCCCAAGAAAATGAGAACAGCCTCTTTCCATAAGGTGTAACACAAGCCATAGGGTGTGCTCTCACTGGGTCGCCCTGGGTCACCTGCCCATTACTGTGACCACAGCAGGATGTGGAGACCCCAATGCTCCTGGATTCCTGTAGACTGAGGGGCAGGAGAGATGGAGAGGGTGCAAGGAGGTTGGGTGGGGTGCTAGGCAGATGGGGACCTGAGCATGATTCCTACCTTGCTCCACAGATGGTCATGTGTCCTTTGAGATGTTGCCCAAGCAAGCATCTATATGCGAGCTGCTAAAAGGTCCTCACCCCTCAGCTGGGTCTGGGGTGCAAGGGTTGGGGCTGACGGTGTGGGAGAGCAAGGTAGGGTGGGTGGGAGGAGTCACTGGAGAGAGAAGGGAGAGTCACAGTGTCCTGGGGAGGAAGGGGAATTCTGGAGAGGGCTGGGGCTATCCCAGGAAGAGCGGGAAGGGAAGGATGAAGTCCTGGCTTCCTCCCGTCTCAGCTGGCAACTGCACCATCATCTGGTCAGTGTACATCTCCGCCGACTTCATCCTCCAGATCCTGGTGGAGAAAGAAGTCCCTAACTCCACTAAGAAGACTCACACCCTGCTCCGCTATGATACAGGTAATCAGGATGATGGAGGCAGGGCACGGAAAGGAGCAGGCTGCCAGTGTGGCCTGTGTGCCTATCCCTAGCGTGTCACTCCTAGATGAGAGAGGGAGTGGGGAAAAGAGAGACTGGGTAGGCTGGAGCAACAGACAGGAAGTCAATGGGCCAAGAAGCGAAGGGGGGAAGACAGAGAGGAAGACGGGAGAGGTGAGCAGAAGCCAGGTGTGGAAGGGCCTCGGGACTCAGGAGAAGGAAATTCCATTTGATTTTACCTTCACTGAGAACAAGGCTACAAAGTCACAGTTGAACACGATGTGCACTGCAAACTCCCATCCCCAGCCACGGTAGAGGAGACAAGCCCCCACGTGAAGCTACTGGGTAGGGTTTTGCCTCCCCAGCTGATGGGCTTTGGGTTAGCTCATGGTTTGCCTTAGCCTCGGGTTTTGAAAGCTCAGGCTCATAGGAGATTCTATTCTTTTCCCCCTCATAGTGAAAGAAGAAATGAAAGTCCTCTACGACCTCCCAGAATACATTCCTGATAGTAAGAGGGGGAGGTAGGAGTGTCCTTCAGAGTGAGTAGGGGCCGAGACGAGCCCACGTGGCCCCACCTCTCTGGTGTGTTCTGTCCTCTGGTCCGATCAGCTCATGGCTTGGAGTTCCTGATGATTGTAGGAACAGAGACTTTCACCACCATTCCTATGACACCCAAGGGTATGTTCTTCAACAATTACAATAACCAGCTGTTTCTCTGGGGCAACTTCCTCATGCAAAGGTACGCCATACTGTCCCTCAGCCCGCCCAGGCATTTCCTCCCTCCCAACCCCGCTAGGGGGGAGGCTGTTCCTGAAGTCATCGAGCCTTGAGAGAGAGTGTGTATGTGTGAGTCCTGGAGATGTTGCCCACATGCAAAGCTGGTGCTGTGCCTCAGATCCAAACCTCGAACCCTGGGACTCCTTTCTTAAAATGAAACCTAACCTAAGGACCCAATCTCCAAGAGCATTTTAGGGCCTTTCCTCCCTGCTACCCTCTCACCCCTTGGGACTCAGGAGCACCTGGGTCACCTCCAGCGATGGCTGAGGATCTGCTCCTATTTTAGAGATGAAAAGAGAGGAGTCCTAGGGCAGAGTGGGCTGGGGTGAGAGGACAGGAGCTAGTGTTCCAGGCTGCCTACGCACTTGCCTGCAAGGCTAGTGGAGGGGCAGTCAGTGAGTCCTATGATATATTAGGCCTGGGTAGGTTAAATAGTTACAAAGGATGCCCAGCTGTTCCTGGGCTCTGAAATTACCAGTTCTTTCCCTCAGCTACAATGAAGAAAACTTCATCTACCTCTCAGATTTCCCCCACGACTCAGTCATCAAATACATGGTGAACTCATTCCAAGGGGACGTGGTTATAGTCACAGAGTCGGAGGATGTGAGTTGCCCTGCCCCTCCCCTACTCCCTCTCGTCCCACCTGCCCCCAAGCCCTCCTCCCCTGTCAGGGTAAAAGGGTCACCGGGAGGAAACACCCAGGACCCCAGGAAGGGCAGCAGAAGCTCCATTGGTAGCAGAGCCCCTAGAACTCAGAGAGGATCAGAGTTTGTTCCAAAGTCACATCCACATCCAGGGAGCTGAGGTAGGATTTGATGTTCAGAGGAGTTCATCATTTCACTGTGAAGCTGTTCGTTTCACAAATATTGAGCACTTACTGTGTACTTGACCCAGCGCTGGTGATACAGTCAGTCCAGGACCCTGGGCCCACAGGTCACAGTCCAGTTGGGAGAACAGTCATATTCCCACTCAGTGACAGGTCATGGTAGTCAGGATGTCATGGACGAAGTGGCACCCACGGAGCCTGATGGAGCCTGGACTGATGGCAGGGAGGGCTCCATGGAGAAGCAATATACATGGGGGAGGCATGGAGGCTGGAGGGGATCGCCAGGCTAAAGCTTAGGAAGCAGGGAGGAGAGGGTTAGGGTCAGAGGCAGGGTGGGAATGTCAAGCACTAAGACCAAGGCCATATGCGACCCTGGAGCCTGCAAAGACCCTTAGGCTGCAAATCTCAGTCCGAGGAACCCTGACTTTTGGGGGTTATTAGAAAGGCTTTGGTTACAAATAACAGAAATGCAAGCAGACTGGCCCACTGGAAAGAGTTACCAAGGCTGCTGGAGATAGGAATTGGAGGTAGTTGGGCTAGGGGAAGTAGAGAGGTAGCACTGCAGAGAAAGGTATGTTGGTACAAGTGGTCCCACCTGGAGGTGAGCTCCAAGCCTCACCCATCGCACACTGGGCTGAGGGAGCGGCGGGGCCAGTGGTCCCCAGGGGCCTTGCCCACACCTTCCCCTGCCTTCTGAATCCCCAGGTCTGGTACCTTCAGGAGGGAAGCTACAGAGTGTACAGACTCATCCCATCCACTGGGTGGGACATCCACAGGAGTCTACAGATGATGCTTCACTCCTCTTTCTATGCTAACAGGGAGACCATGATCACTGTATTCTATGAACATGGCGAGCTGTTCCAGGTACAAGGCAGGGGCTTATGATGCACATGGAGGGCCACGGAGGGGCCGCCACCAGCTCACCTGTCCCCCTACACCCCACAGCTTGTGTACCTTAAAGACGACAGTACGCAGCGTATTGTCAAAAGGATTGTGCCTGTGGAAAAGATTCTGTTATACCAAGAACACACCCACCACAAAGTGAAACGGGAAGGGTGAGAAGACATGATCCATACAGTAGAGGTCTGAGAGTTCTCAGCCCACGGCTGGGTCCTGGGACTGCCCCAAGGAGAAGCTTGGGGCAGAATAGGGTTAGGGGAGGCATCAGAGGGTTCCTTGGGAGAGCTTCAAGGAGAAGGTGTAGGTGCTGTGACCCAAGGGTGAGGAGAAATTAGGAGGTGATGGGAGCGGGGAGGAAGGCTGTTCTATATAGCAGGAAACATGTACAAAGGCACAGATGAAGAAAGAGTCACTGTTCAAGAACTGTGAGAGTGCTGTGCAGTGGTGACAGGAAGGGACAAGCTGAGCCTGGTGTTCAAAAGGAGGAGCTTGGACTTCTTGAGGATTTTGGGGAGTCAGGGATGGGACCAAGAGGTGACACTATGGAATTAGATTTTATGTGTTCAGTAGTAATCCTGAGGTCACCTGCAGGGGGTGGATCAGAGGAAGTAGGAAGGCAGTTGGTGTTGCGAGCAGGGATGTGGTTGGGGTGTAGGGTGAAGAGGTCAAGTAGACAGGTAAGGGGGCACTGATGTGGAGAGGAGGAAGCACTGGTCTGAGGGACGAGGGGACAACAAGGGGAGGTGTCCAGACAACACAAGGGGCTGAGCTAAGGGGAAGATCAGTGGTGGATTAGATTTGGGAAGCCCACAGTGCAAAGGTGGGAAACTGAGGTTCCTGGTATGTCCAGCATGAAGAGTCATTTGCTGTCCTCCACTACTGCTGCCCAGGGGCTACCCAAGGCTCACCTTCGCTGACCCCTGTCCCTTCATGGTGATGCGCCTGCGGGACTTGCCTAACCCCCAGGCCTATACGCGGGAGGAACGCTACAGAGCCCGGCCACCATTTGTCATGGACCAATCAGGCTTTCACAACGAGAACTCCCTCGCGGTCTATCAAGGCCTGGTCTACTACCTTCTCTGGCTGCACTCCAAGTATGACAAGGTGGGCACCTGGAGGCTGGCTGGATACCTGGGACCCGGGTGGTGTCCTGGACTACACGGAGCAGGCTGGTCCAGAGGGCAGGGCCTGTGCAGTGGAGCACATGGAACTGGATCTGGTACAGGCAGACTGGATTTAGGACCAGATTGAGCAGGACTGCCAAGAGAGCTTTAGGAGGTGCAGCCCTTGGATTGAAAGCTGCATTGGGAGGGTGTATCTTTCTCTTTGCGTTGTGGGCTAAAACCAAAGCCAGTAAAAGAATCTGAGGCTGCACTCTTCACTGGGACTGTCCCCCCTGTCACCCCTTCCCGGTGTCCTCTGGTCCCTGCAGCCTTACGCGGACCCTGTGCATGATCCCACCTGGCGCTGGTGGAAAAATAAGAAACATGACCAGGTACGTGGAGAGTGTGGCAGGCAGGGGAGAGGTGGCACCCAGCTCCCCTCAGTGCCAACGCCGGCTTACCCGTGCGTCTGGCTCGCCAGGATTATTATTTCTATCTGGCCAGCAACTGGCGGAGCACTGGCGGTGTGCACATTGACATGGAGAGCTACGAAAAGATCTATGACCTCAAATCCAAGTACACGCTGCCCACGCGCATTTTCCTGGATAAGGGCACTATGTACAACTTCACCATCTTCCTGACCGCCACCGGGACCTCCTTCTACATGCCTGACGAGCTCGGTCTGTGCACTGGCCAAGTAAAGGCGCCAGGGGAGCAAGGGGCTGCGCCCTGGGGACTCATGCCCTGGGTGCACCTTGCCAAGGGTACAGCTGATGTCCAGTCGGGGGGTTTTTTTCCCCCTGTACCGGGGTTTTGAACTCAGGGCCTACACCTTGTGACACTCTACCAGCCCTTTTTTTTTGTAATGGGTTTTTTTTTGAGAAAGGCTCTTGTGAACTTTTCCCTGGTCTCTTTGAACCTTGATCCTCCTGGTCTCTGCCTCTTGAGTAGCAAGGATTACAGGTGTGAGCCGCCAGTGCCCAGTCTGAGTTGAAGTCTTAACCCTTTCCTCTGGTTGTGGCAGGGTCTGCCTTCCAGGTGCAGAGCAAACTGGCACTGAGTGTGGTGGTGGCCGATCCAAACTGCATCGAGGCCTTAGTGAAGCAGGAAGTCCTTGTGAACCGGAACTCCGTGCAATTCATGGTGAGGCCCATGGAGGACCGGACAGCAAACAGAGGCTACAGCTACAGGGTATTTGAACTGTCACTGGGTCTAAGACAAGCCTTCCTACCCTTCTTTCTGGCTCCCCACTCCCCCACTGCAGGTGAGACTCAGGGATAAACGTGCCTGCTATGGACAGGGCATCAGCGGACATAGCCTCATGAAGACTTCCATGATGATCAAGGTGGAGTCTGAGCCTGGAGGGAGGGACAAGGGATGAAGGGAGAGATGCGGGTGAGAACCACCATCACCACCTGCTCCTACCCAGGTGGTGGGTTCTTCTGGTCGCTGCTTCAAGAACACGAACCAAGGGCTGAAGACGCAAGTATGGAAGCCTGGGATACTGGGCCCTGAAGTGGGAGGGAGTAAAGGGAGGGTCAGGTCTTAACACGCCTGCTTCCAAGCACACCAGTGCGCTACCATTTCCTTCCTTCTCATCCATCTTCCTCATTCATCTGCTTGCCTGCTCTCTCCTTTCCTCCCCTCCCGATTTCACAAAGAGCTGTGTGGGTTGCACACCAGCTGTGTGCTCCTCCAGATAGTTTTCTGCAGAGGGAAGGAAAGTCTGAGGGCTTCTCCTTCCACGTGGCACAAAGGAGCCCATCCTGGCGCTCTGTTCACACACTGCTCTTCATTTGCCCACCCACACGTTCTCTTTCTTCCTTTGGGTTCTTGGGTCTTCGCTTGCTTACATATTCGTGTGCAATGTCCCCTTGCACACGAGCAGGTACTGAGACTCAGAGAGGTGCAGACACCTGCTCAGAGTAACACAGCTAGCTCAGAAGAGGTAGAGGAGGCTGACCCACAGTCACCACTCACCAGCACACACACCCTGGGAGTCCTCTTCCTGGCTTGGAGTGACCCAGGCCCCTTGGGTTACATGAGATGTTAGATGGGCTAAAGTAGTAACAAGGAGCAAGTATGGCTGGGTCAGGGTGAACAAAGAGGAGCGTGGAAAGAGGTGAGCCAGAGCAGTGATGGGGCTGGTCCCGTGGGTCCCATGGGCCCTGTGGGCCATGGGGAGTGAAATGACTCCACTAAAGACGGTCTAGAATGTTCCCAGGGTCCATCTGGCTTCATGTGGGAGACAAACTGGGGGTGATGGACGCTAAGACATTTGTTGCGCAGACAAGGCAGGACAAGACGAGGGTGGGGCAAGGGAGGTGAGGCTTGGGGAGAGATGGGTGGATTTTAGATCCTTGTTCTTTCTCGTGGTACTGGGGATGGAATCCAGGGTCTGAGGCGTGCTCAGTAGGTGCTTGACCCTTGAGCTCCACCCTCAGCCCTCTGGATCTATTTTGAAAGCTGGCAACCCAAAGCTGTCCTGACAGACAGGACGTGGGTGTGAAGGAGACAGAGGTTTCAAGGATGCAGCCAAGACCTTTAACCTGAACAGCTGGGTGGCATGGAGGTGCCATTCACCAACATGACTTCTGGACATCTGTCCATTAGGCTTCTATAAACTGAGTGTGTCTTTGGTCTAGGCCTCACAGTGGCAGTGATTCATTTATGGCTTCCAAGCCCAGGCCACAGACTCTAAGCACCCTTCTGCCGTACCCCCAAATGAGCCTAGGGACTCTTCATCCTGTAGGCCATGTCCTGGGGGATCCCTGAGTCCATACTGGGCTCCACTTCCCTCACATATCCTATGCTAATTATTCAAACCTCAATTCCAAGCTCATACCTATGAGGTGTAAGTAGGAGTTAGGGCTCTTGTAGATACCGGGACCAGACCCATTCCGTGTTGTATGCTTGAGGCATCTGAAGCCAACCTATGGGTTTCAGACCAGCTCTAGCTTTTACCAGCCATGTGACTTTATACAATTAGTAAGTGGCTTGACCTTTCTGTGCCTCACTTTTGCAGTCTCTAAAATGGGGATATTATAGCCTTTATCATGCAGGGTTCACCCAGCTCACAGAGGTGATTGAATATGTAAAGGCCCTAGAATATCACCAGTTTCCTTATTATCAGGTATAGCTACATGAGCGTTGACAGATACTAAAAATAGTGTTTTAGCAGGACATGTTAGCACATGCCTGGAACCCAGCACTCAGGGCCTGGTCCACAGATCAAACCCTATCTCAAAAACACAAGGACAAGCCAGGTTCTGGTGGTTCACACATATAATCCTAGCTACTTGGGAGTCTGAGAACGTGATGATTGTGGTTCAAGACCAGCCCAGGCAAAGAATTAGCAAGATCTCTTCTCAACCTAGCGGTGGTGCACTCCTGTCTTCCCAAACTATGTGGGAGACAGAGATTGGAAGGATAGAGGATACAGGCCAGCCTGGGCAAAAAGTTGTTGAGATCCCCTTTCAACATAAAAAAAGCTGGGAGTGGTGATTTGCTCTAGTCATCCCAATGAGAGCAGAAAGCCTAAAATAGAAGAGTTGCCATCCAGACCAGTCTGGGCAAAAAACGAGACCCTATCTCTGAAATAATCAGAGCAAAAAGCGCTGGAGGTATGCCCCAAGCAATAGAATATCTGGCTAGGCAAGTGAGAAGCTGTGTGTTCAAATCCCAGTACTGCCAAGAAAAAAAAAATCTATTACTGACTTGTAGGTCAGTGATAGAGTACTTGGGTTTCATCCCTGGCACCACAAAAGAAAAAAAAACCTTTTAATAATAAAGATCAAATGACCATCCAAGGCTGGCATCCCCAGCACAGGACTTTTCTCCCGCTCAGGGCAGCCTGATGGTGCCAGTGCTTATCGGCTGCCCCCTAGGCAAGCGCCTGGCCTTCGACATCACCTACACTCTCGAGTACAACAGCCAACAGAACAAACACTACTTCAACTGTGTGAACAAAGACCCCGAGATGCCCTGCTTTCTCTTCCGCGACAGTGTGTATACATCCCTTCCTCTCCACGGCCTCTGCCTCTTCCGCCACCACTTCACCCTCTCCTGCTCCCCTCGCCAGGGCCACCATCCCCTGCTCTAACCCTTGGTTCTTCACATCTCCCCTCCCATCCCTCTCCCTTCCCATCCCTCTCCCCTCCCATCCCTCTCCCCTCCCATCCCTCTCCCCTCCCATCCCTCTCCCCCTCCATTCACTTGGACCAAGCTGATCTCTCTTCTGTTCTCAACCTCCTCTGACTCCACAGTCTTCTACCCTTTCTTCTTGATTCAAGATTTGGTGACAGGAGAGTCTGGCAGTTTTAAGGGCAGGTAAAGGCGAGGCCAGGCTGTGGCTCTGGGGGTGTGGAGCGAGGGAATGGGGATATAGGACTTGGGACTCCAGGCAGGTCCTTGAGCACCCATGCTTCTCCAGCTATATTCTGAAGGTGGTGGGTGGTGGGTCCACACTGGAGAGCATCAAGGACTACACAGATGATGAGATCTACCGCTATAACAGCCCACGGGACAAGTAAGTCTGTGGGGCCACATGCATGGTCGCCTTCCTTCTCCTGCAGGCACCTCCCACTTCCCAGCCCAGTGGTCTTCTCCCTTACTCCCATCTTCTTGGTACCGCAGACCCCCGCCCATGGGGAGACCTGTAGGATTCCCACCTACCCACTCTATCCTGCTGGTCATCACCTTAGCCCTGCCCACCAGTGCCCAGACCCTGCCCACCCAGTTGGCCTGAGGGCTGGCAGCCAGTGAGCTCTGCCCAGGCTGAGAGTACATGGTGCTTCCCAGAACCAACAGCCTCATCTGGAACACAAAGACCAAAAAAGCCACCCAGGACATGGAGTTCCACATCCTGTCCTATGAGAGCACAGGCATCGAGTGAGTTGCAAGCTTCTGCCACACTTTTTTTTTGTTGGATGGGACTGGGGTTTGAACTCAGGACTTTGCACTTGCAAAGTGGGCGCTATTGCTTGAGCTACACCTCCAGTGCAGTTTGCTCTGGTTATTTTGGAAATGGGACACTATTTACCCTGGCCGGCCTCAAACTGTGATCCTTCCAATTGTAGCCTCCCAAGTAGCTAGGATTACAGGTGTGAGCCACCAGCACCTGCTAAACAACACAGTGAAGTTTAGCTTGTTTCTTTGTTTGCTCATTTGGTTGGACTTGGGTTTGAACTAAGGGCTTCTCACTTGCAAAGCAGGCTCTCTACTGCTTCAGCCACACACACACACACCTTTTTTTTTTGGAAGACAGGGTCTCACTATGTAGCCCAGGTTGACCTCAAACTCACCATCCTCTTGCCTCCATGTTCCCGGTGCTGGAATACAGGCATGCATCAACATGCCTGACTTTGGGCAAGGCTCCTTGACACCCATCTGTCCGCTCAGCTTGCCCTCCTTCCGGCATCTGAGAAGCTTCTTGATCCTGGAGCAGAGAGACTGCCTTTCTGCTTCCCAGAGGGGGCTGGGCTTTGCACAGCAGACCCCTTTGTCTAGAATGTTCGACTCTCCTGTTCCTTCTTTGGGTCTTACTTCGGGGGTCCCACCATGAAGGATGGGTTTTCCAACTGTTTCAAGGCCCCATAGTTACCTCCTCTTGGTTCCTACATGCCTTTCCTGTCCTGAACCCTATGTTTGAGCCTCCCCTTCCCATGCTTGACTCCTCTACCTAACTGCACAACCCACCAGGAATCACCATCCCATCCCAGAACTGCTACCTGCATTTCTCCCATCCTGGCCCTGAGAGACCAGACCTGTCACCGCTTCCCATGGGATCAGTCTGCCTGATAGCACTGGATCATGAATAGATTCAACACAGTATTTTTAAGTGAAGGGATGAACACTTAATTAATTTAACTCATGGTAGGCATGTAGAGACTGATGGAGAAATCAAAGAATGGAGGAACTAATTAGCATAGAGAGCTCAATAACTTGTCATTAGTGATAGCGAGAAAATGCTATATGCAAATTAAGTCAGCAAATAAAGTAATCATGGTTCAGCCCTTGTTTATGGACTAATGAACAAAGGAGGGGGTAACAGAAAAGACACGATTTTGAACCCTACTAATGGTTCAAGCTCCACTTTTTGGATGAAGAAATGAAGGCAGCAGGGAATGAATAAAAAGCTGGGTTGTCATAGGTGCACAATCCATCATTAAAAAAAAAGCAGAGTGACAGATGAATTGGCAGAAGGAGGCATGAAAGAAAGAGAACATGAGTGAGTAGACAAGCAGCCTGTGGCACAGCAGGTGCTCAGCCTGCATGAATGAATGAATGAATGAAGATAGAGACTGTGGGCTGGATTATGTAGCTCGACAGAAGAGCTCTTGCCATACCCAGCGTCACAAAGATAGACCAGAAAAGGTAGAGACTGGCCCTAGCTGGTGCTCTCCCACAGTGTGGGGCAGAGGAAGGAATCAGAGGTGGGCACACACTGGTCATGGTGGTGACTCAAGTGCCTGAACTTGGTCTCCCAGGTGGCTGTGTCTGCAGAACTCCCCGTGCCATGACACCCTCCCCCAAAACATCTTTGCCCCCGAGTTCTACTTCAAGGTGTTGGTGAGCAATAAGTGAGCCAGCCATGTGGCCCTGGTGGGGGGTGAGGGTGCTCCCGTGTGGTGCCTGAGTACTCCTCCAATCCTGGACCTCATCCCTCCCCAGAGGTGTGGACAAAAGCACATACTGTGACTACAAGCTCATCTTCCTGCTGCATGTTCACGGGCTCCCACTCAGTGGCAAGAGGGCCCTCTACATCATCATAGTGAGTGAAAGTCTAGGAACTACCCTTCTTGAGTGGGCAGGGTGTTCCCAGGCTGACACCCAACCCTAATTTCTGGTGTCTGAAGGTGTCATTCAGCATTTTTTTGGGCCTGGTGAGCTTTTACATCATCTTCTGCCTTGTGTGGCCCTACGTGGTGAATGCTTGGGACAATCTGCGTTGGAAAATCAACAATTTGATGATCTCAGAGTCCTACTACACCTATGCCACCTCTGTCGGACCCTACAGCATGTCATCTCAGGTGACTTTCATGGAGCCCATCAAGGAGCTTGACAATGTTCCCTCCAAAATGGTACAGGACAAGGCTGAACCTGAACCAACGTCAGAGAAGAAGCCAGAGACGTGAGCCTTCCCCAACTCCCCACTCACCCTTAAGCCTCTCTTGTTAGGCTCCTTTGGGAAATGCAGCCTGTCTCTCACACAGGCCTGTTTTTCTTGAGTGTTCACTAGATTCTCAGATTCAAATAAAGCCTCATTTTATGATCAGCCACGAGTCCTCCGACGGACTTATGTTCACTTTGCTTCTACCAGACCAGCTGAAAAGGTTATTAAAAGATGAACATTTTGCTTCACCACCTGGCAAATAGTGGTTTCTCTGTGTTTCCTTTCTATAACTGGGACATCCAGTATAAAAGAAATGGCTATCAAAGATGGAAGGTGCCATGAGACAAAAGAAAGAAACAGAGAGATCCAGGACTGCACAGAGGGGAATTCACTGGGGACTTAGTGACATAAGTGTGTCCAAAGTCTGCAGTATAACCAGTAGATCACCACCATTTGGTTCAGAGGGAAGTGGTTTATATCCAAGCTGTAATGTGCCTGGTTTATTTCAACATCAAATATATCAGGCACAAGCCTTAGCATGGTGGTACAGCCCTGTAATCCCAGCACTGGGGAGACTGAAGCAGGAGGTTTGTGACTTCAAGGCCAGCTAGAGCTAAATAGTGAGACCCTGTCTCAAAGAACAAAAAGACATTAACAAAAACAAATAGAAAAATTCAACTAAAAGTAAGTAAAAGCCAGTGAGGATAGAGGGCTTATTCTGATTTTCCCTCCATTTCAGAATAAGGTAACACCTAATTCTATGAAATAAAATAGTTCTCATGAGCTGAGAAAAAGAGGTTGGCTTATAGGCAGTTAGGGCTGAGGAAAGCAGAAGCAGAAAAGAAATACCAAATGAGTTGTTTCAAAATGACTTTCCTTGAAAGGTTAAAGCAAAGGAGACTCCCAGCTAGAACTGCCCTGTTTGGGGATTTGGCTATTATCATTTTCATGATTATTTAGAGGAGGATCAAGAAACAACTCGGTTTGGGTTTCCTGGCTTGGAACTTCAGCATCAGCGACTGGGAGGCAGACTACCTTAGGGAAAGGTAGCATGAGAAAGTCAGAATCCAGTATGTGGGAACCAAAGCATGCCAGAATTAGGAGTTATGACTGCAGACCTGAACTGAATTATCTTTTAGGAACAGATATTTCTTCTTTCAGCACACACCTCCGCACAAGTCACAATTACAATAGAGAAAATGGCCTCAATTTCTCTGACCTTGTCCCAAATGAGTAATGAGCCCAAGGGAAAAAAAAAAAAAAAGAAACAGGCACCCATATCACAAAATCCTTTGACTTGCAAGATCACCCACACCCAACATCTTCATGTTTGGATGACAATGTCAAAACAGTGCAACAACAAAATTAAGTTATCAGGTGCCTCACACAAAGACTCCACTAATCTGCAATAAAGTTTAAGCTAGAACTCCCTAACTGTTTTACCTAGTGTAAATTAGGCAGAGCTACGCCCACTCTCCACGCTCGTAGAATGCATTTCCCTCTTTTTTCTGCTCACCACCCTATTTGCTTAATGAAGTCTTTTCCAGCCTTCTAGCTTGTGAATCATCTTGAAATTATTTTCACTATGCGTGCAAGAACTATGGAAACCATGGGTAATAAGTTGGGTTAAAAAAAAACTTTGAGCCCTCTCCAGTGACAGTTTTGGTGAGCCAGCCAGGAGCAGCACTCTTCATCATTGGAGGGTTAGCAATAGGACACTGGGCATTATGCTGCTTATAATTGTCTAGTTTTTCTTGTTTCCTTTCTTTTTTCTCCTCCTCTTCCTCTTCATCCTCCTCCTCCTCAGTTTCAAAAATCTGCCTTCTAGAAAATGAGTTTCACATGAGAGTTCCAAAGATAGGATCAGCCTCCATTAAACATGATACATCTCACCCCCAGGTGAGCTGAGACAAAGAAAAGTGGTTGGCCATGGGAAACATTTAAGGTTGAGTTTGATAAGCCAGCAACAATAGCTACTACAGTTGCAGGTCTTTCCTCCTGAAAATAAAAGATTGCCCTCTGAGACACGGGCCCTAGCATAACACCTGGTTAAGCAAACTTTCAAAGGCATCCCACTTTTGATTAGAAACACTCTTCAGGTACATGCTTCCATTCTTGGGTTGGGCAGAGCTGTCATGGCTCCTCGGCACATGTGCACAAAGTGTTGGCCTCCTCATACCTGAGTCACTCCACTCCTCCTGGGACTGAGGCAATCTGAGATGTCAGACTGGTTATCTGACCTATTACTGGAAAAGAACCTAAAGCAGCACACATTACAGATCCAAAACATCTCATTGCCATGGCTGAAATTCACATTTACTCTGGCTTTGTCTGCCCCATCTGACTTTAATCCCAAGGCTTAAGTCACTACCCGTGCATCCACGGTCCGCATGCCTGCCTCTCACCTCCCAGGTCAGCCTTCTGGGAGGCAGCAACAGAAGTTGGGATTGGCAGAGTGGAGGGGTCCCAACCCTGCTGGTCTCCAGGTAAGGAGGGGGTGCTGACTGAAACTCCCAGACCCCTAAGGCCTGGACACAGCAGGATTCAGAAACACAGAGCACTGTTGCTTTAGCTCTTGCAACTGTCACCAACAGGAACCTGAAATGGTGGCAGCTTCTTTTATCTGCCTCTTTTACATCATCCTCTTATCTCTACTGGGAACCCACAGCATATGTTTGCCCTAACACTGTGTCTTACTTGCCAAAACTCAAAGTTAACACTATTATTTCTTCTCACTATGCACAAGAGTTTTTGAGTATATTTTCACATTCTTTAAGGAATGCTTTGGGGAAGAAATCATAGAAAACCTATTCAAAGTTTTCTTTTCGGCTGTACTGGGGTTTGAACTCAGGGTCTTCCACTTGCTAGGCAGGCATTTTACCACTTGTGCCATGCCCCCAGCCGCGTTTTACTTTAGCCATTTTGTGGGTAGGATCTCTAATTTTTCCTCGGGCAGCCTCAGACCCCCAGCCTACAACCTCTTCTGTAGCTAGAATCACAAGTGCAAACTACCACACCCAGCTTATTAATTGAGATGGTCTTGCAAAAGCAGGAAAAAAGTTTCACATCCCTGCATCCATTTTTATATGTGTTCTTTGTTCTGGGCCATTCATCTTGCAGCCCCCTTGAAATCCAGGAAGGACAGGGCTCATTGATAACATTCTTACAAGGAGGGATGGAGGAAACCACCCCCAAGGAAAGGAATAGCAAAACTTCCTCAGGAAAGACCATCCACCAGTCAGCAATGACAAGGTTGCTATGACTGATGACTTCTCCAGAACCCCTCCAAAAAAAATAACTGAGATAATGACCAATTAGACCACACCTGTGAGTGGGACTCTTTATTCATTCCTGTCACCCCTACCCTAATTCCTTTTCTATTTAAACCTAAAAGTCATGTCTGTATCCTGAAGATGGCTGAAGATGGGCTGAAGTGCTTACTTCACCTCTTCATGCAACAGGCATGAGCTACACAGTAACTCATTCTCTGCCCTTCACTATGTCTTTTTATTCAGCATTTTGAAGCAAGTAGCCAAATCTGACATGTGGAACCCCAGGAGTTTGGGGTTGGAACCTAAAACTTTGGTTTCAGTTTTGGTGAGCCAGCCAGGAGAAAATATGCCCTTTAGGCATTAGCCACTTGCAGTTAGTTGACCCTGGATGGAGAGGAAAGATTGAATTGGTTCCATGCCACTGTGAAGATTACTCTTATTCTAGGACCTTTTCTTATCTTTCCACATTGATCAGCATCTGTTGCTTTTTACCATCATTTGGTGAGGCAAGAAATGAACATTTGGAGTATAAGGCCCTGAATTCTGACCCTTGGTAAATTCTCTGTAATCATTTCATCTCAGGCCTTCTCAATCCTTTTCCTTGTTGTCTGAAGGATCTTCTGAGCATTTGGATTCATTTGAATTAATTCAGCTTCTGCCACTTGTGAGAGGCAATTTGGAATTTGTGGTGGCGATTATCAGGGAAGTGATGTAAGCTACACAGAGAAACCAGGGTGTTTGTTCAGCTCTCTATTGTGCTTTGCTTAAGAATGAAAAATGCTAAGTCTATTTTGTCCTCAAGGGAGAATTCTAGCTGACAGTCTACTAGAAAAGGGAAAAAAAATGACACAGGGATGGTTTACCTAAGAGTGCTCTCTTAGTGTAATTGTTGAATTATTGCAATTGTTTTTTTGTGTCATTTTTTGTGTGGCTATTCATCTGTATCTATGATGAATGCTTTATGAAGGATAAAAAGTCTGGTGGCTGTGGTGTAGTCCTATAGGAGATCGACTAAAAGTACTTCCTTAGCATTGATTCTTGCTTTAGACACCAACAAAATGAATTAAAAAATAATAAAACAGCATTGGGTAGAAATTAATTTGCTCCTTGAAATCCTAGAAATAATGCCAATTTTATAGGGTCCTAAATTAACATTTTTGGCATGCCTAATTTAAAACATCTTTTTGTACGTGTGGTATTATGTGAGGACATCTTTTAGATGGTTCTTACACTTCTATTATAAAGTTAATGTGTAAAGAATATCATTTCTTTTTTAAAAAAAAAACTGGCTATTCAAAGTTCTTTTATCAACCAGATCAAACTAAAATGCAGGCACATAAGAATTAACTCCTAAATTTAAGAACTGAAGGGGAAAAGGATTTTATGGATGTTAGTCTTTTTTATTCTGTAATAAATATAATTTGGATTCAACTCTCTTTAGCAATAGATGGGCCTATTAACAAATATGATTTTGTATATAGAAACAGTTTAATATTGCTTTCATCCTGGTTCTTCATTAAAATATAAAGCTACTAAGAGTATTTTCCTTTATTGAGAACAGAAACAATCTTGTGTAAGTTCGAAAGTTTTATGAAAGCTATTTCAAAATGCAAACTAGAAAGAAAACACAGAAGAGAATCAGCAAATAGGAAAGAGATATAAGGAAGGTATGGAAATGTATTTTTGGAGAAGAAAGTTAAAGAGAAAAGGAAATGCTTTGGGATGAGGAAGGATTTTGGGGAGAGGTTTT